CAGATTGCGAGTCGAGTGCCCTAACCACCTGGCCATACAACGCTAGAAATCGGGTTTCGATACTCGTGGTGGTCAGAACACAGATAGCCCATTGTGTAGCTTTGAGCTTAACTTAAAAAACAAACAAACAATTACCAATTATTATTATTTATTTTACTATAATGGAACGTTATATACAATAATGGCTCTGGTTTAGCTTCCATATTTGTTTCCCATAACTGATTCACAGCTAAGAATATAACGATATTCATCAGTGGTTTTAGGTTGGCTTCCATTTTTCTCCACAGCTAAATACAATGCTATCAAACAGGGGCTCTGGCCTTGTGACATCTAAAATTGGAATCAATTAGGTTCAAAGCTTCCACTTTCGTTACATTTTGTATGACCCCCAGTGTCACAGCGGTACGTCTGCGGACTTACGATGCTAGAAACAGGGTTTCGATACCCGTGATGGGCAGAGCATTGTGTAGTTTTGTGTTTAACTACAAACAAATAAATAAACAACAAACATTTCGTATGACCAGTTTCAAGTCTACAACTTACGTGTAATATGAAACAAAGTTATAGCTAATGGAAATAATTATGGGAACACACAAGCGATACACATACAGGAACCACAAGCAACTAGGTAGTGAATTTATTAATGATAGAAAACATTATCATAGAAAATACAAAAGGAATAGGTTGTACAACGTACTTTGTATATTTGCGCCTTGCTTTACTGAATATTACAGTTGTTTTCATGCTGCCATAAGTTCAGCAACGTGCAATTATGGAATACCGTTCACAAGTCCTGTTGTTTGAACGCCTTTTAAACTTCGCAGTTTTTAAATGAAGCTGATACCGCTTTAAGGATGTTCATATGATAAATAATGCAACATAAGCTATAGTTGTAAGTGTTTCATCGGCCTTTTTACCGTTTCACCACATTTGCTGCATACTTGTGATCACTGTTTTGCTGGAAGATTAATCACCGCCCAATCAGTCATGTTCCTGAAGCAATGGCATGATGAATAAGAATGTGCCTGTACTTCTCAGCAGTCAGGGTGCCATTATTTTATGTACATGACCAATTCCTTTGGCTGAGAAACACCCTTAGACTTTTACCGATCCTCCACAGTGCTTGACTGTAGATGCTGTAAATTGACTATGGTATCAGTTTTATCTCCACTGTCCAAAAAGTTGTCTTTGATTGTTGCTGAACTATTCGAACTTGAATTCATCTGTAAAAAGCACATCTTCATTTTTGCTTTTTCCACCGTTCATTATCACTATTTCAATCTTTTGATTTGCTATTTCTCAATAGCAGATTTCAAGCAGCTACACGTCTACCGAGACTACTTCTTGCCAAGGTGTATCACACCTGTATATACATTAGCAATATTTGTACTCGAATGTTGTCATTATCTCTTAAAGAATATATTCTGAGATGCTTAATATCACTTTTGGACAATTTAGGTTTGCCACTTTGACCGTTGTTCTTGATAATAGTGCCAGTTTCACACACCTTTTTAAGTATTGCATACAGTTCCCACTGAAACAAGGAATCTTGTCATAATTTTTCGCATGTATTCTTAACCATCCAAAACTTGAATATCTTGACGTTTGTCATGCGGCAATTCATTTCTGGAAGCTGTAACTAGTTAAATACTATTATTATAGGGAACCTATACTTTTATAGGCTTTACGCTGGTGTGGATGACAACCAGTCACAATATAAGCCATCAGTATCTGACTTTACTCTATCGTAGTTCATTTTCACACCATAAAGAGGTGGCATTCCAGCAGTATTTACCTTCTATATCATTTTCACTTTGCGTTTCTATGATCATTTCCAGTACTAGTACTGTTTATCTGTAGAATTACCAATGAGGCCCATATCGATTCTTTAAACACACTTTTACACTATTTATAGACCAAGTTGCTTGTGGATCCATGACTTTATTATTTACAAGGTCCCTAATAATGTGTAAGTCACACATAAAAATATAAACAAAAAATACCATTAATATTGCAATGAATCACACTAATTATTTTAGGAGTCCCCGACGAAGTTTGTCTGAAAAATTAGTGATTTCAAACTTTTTTTTTTACCAGTTCTTTACACCGGATATAATGAAATATTTGGAACTCTATAGTAATAAAAGATATTACAAAAATCGGTAAATTGGGGGATATATTGACCATGAAAACGCTCACACACAAAGTTAACATTAATAAATGGAAACAACACCTACCTCAAGCACGTGCTCCGATTGCATCTCCCGGTCTAAGCGACGTGCGGTCGTTCTGATTAGGCCTGTCAAAATAAAAATATATATATATATATATGACTTGTCACCTGAAGTCCCTTACCAAAATATTAACAGCATAAACTGTAATCAAGTGGTATTTATTATTCCAGCCACCTAAAACCAAACATATTACAATATCCTTCCGAGAGATTAAAGGGCCTATTCAGATTACAAAAACAACTTATATTTTATTCATCCTTATTTGTGTAAATCATGCTTTCTTCATATGATTAAAAACAATTATTCTGTCAGTATCACAGTGCTTTTTAACTCCCTTTGTACTTCAGTGTAGATGAGTTAGTTTTGATTTGAAAAGTAAATCAATAAAAGTTATCAAACTGAGAAAAAATATTATTAATTTTTCTTCAGCTTTAAATTGAATGATATACATTTGTAATATGCCACTGGTGACGAAACTTTTAGCTCAATACCAAAGCTTACCAAGAATAATAAGAATTAAATTATTATTCATCTTATTATGATGTTATATCACAAGCGTTTTTTTAAGATATTTATTTTGAATACCAGCAAAATAAGTTTGCTATAACCGTAGGTGCACAATTTAAGTTAAAAAAATGAAAGCGACTTTTTTATTAGAACAAATTCGTAAGGTTTTCCTATTGGACATCTTTACAAGTGCAGTAAAGCAAATATTTGCCGTGTCTTTGAACTGAAATACGATATATCATTTAGAAACAAGCGACCATGAAAACAAAAATGCACTGTTGACTAATACCAGTAAAAATTATAAAAATATGGAAGTGAATTCGATTATCGTTAATGGCAGCAAAGCTATCAACCAAAATAAAATCTGAAGATTTAGTACGACTATTGTAGAAATTAAATTGAAAAATTTATGTAAGGTTCCAAAGGTTCATTTATAAATTGTTATTTATGCAAATAAAATATGACCTAACTTAATCAAAGTATACGATTCTGAAATACGAACCACTTTCTATACATGATTATTTATACTCTACTAACCCTAACCAAAGAGACTGGATTAGCTTTCACGTTTACTCGTGTGAGGCTTTAGATACTACAGCTCACAATCCAAGCCACTCGGACTCGCTCATTCAAGCAAAGTTAAATGAGGTATAGACTACATTAGAGATCAATAAACATAAACACTAGTAGTATGAGAAAAACTAGAATTTATTTTTTACGATCTTTGTTTATTTAACATAAAAATAAAAGTTAATTTAGCCACAACACTTATGTATATATATATATATATATATATATATATATATATATAATACACACACGACGTAGTTAGTTTAGTTTAGTTTAAAGTTAAAATAAAACTAAACTAACGTAAGTAACTAAACTAAAAGTAACGTAACTAAGTAACGT